TGTCTGAGCCACCAGCCCCGACGAGTGTCTGATCCACCAGCCGCCCCGACGAGTGTCTGATCCACCAGCCCGACAAGTGTCCGACTCCACCAGCCCCGACAAGTGTCCGACTCCACCAGCCCCGCCGAGTGTCTGATCCACCAGCCCCAACGAGTGTCTGATCCACCAGCCGCCCCGACGAGCGTCTGATCCACCAGCCCGACAAGTGTCCTACTCCACCAGCCCTGACAACTGTCTGACTCCACCAGCCCTGACAAGTGTCTGACTCCACCAGCCCCGACAAGTGGCAGACTCCACCATCCCCGACAAGTGGCCGACTCCACCAGCCCTGAAAAGTGTCCGACTCCACCAGCCCCGACAAGTGTCCGACTCCACCAGCCCTGACAAGTGTCCGACTCCACCAGCCCTGAAGGGAATTCTGAGATTGATGTTCTGATCAGGAAGTTTTTACTGCGATATAGTTCCTCTTATTGCCACTTTTCATAACATTGGAGTTTGATATGTTAATATTCTTGCTTCAGGTTCTAGCGATTTCCAGAGCAGCAATCTGGCATGGAATCAAATATTTTGATATATTTCTTCCACGCCTCTGAGGCTTACGTTTATGTATTTCTGGTAACAAACTTATGTAGGCTAAGAGGTTAGCCAGACCAAATTTTCTAATTTCAATTAATTTTTCACATAAATTGTACAAAGAGAATAATTTGACAGTTCAAATCTAGATTAAAAATCACCAAAAAAAATTGTAAAGTTGCATTAGGTGCTTTTCAGATTTTTTTTTTTATTTAATCCTAGAAAAGTTACTAATAAGACTTGCTATATAACAAAGACTTCCTAAAAGGAAGGGTTACCAGAAATACATTTTGTTAATTTTCATTTAGTCTCAGAAAGCAGAGATTTTAATGTATTATAACTTAAATAAGAAAATGAAGTACAAATATAACAAAACTATAGAAGTAAAATTGATGATTTTATTTGTAGGATTTGTGTAAGATATGAACTGATCGGTCTGCTAGGCACAACATACCTCAGACATACGATGAAGTCAATAAAAATGTAAGTTAAGGAAACAATAGGTCACAGAACAAAGTGGTATCCGATGTTTCCATCATAACACATTCAAATCATACATAGTTACACTGTCAGAAGCCTGCAGGTACACTTCATCCCAAAAGTCACAAGTTGACTTGTACGCAACGTTTCCGCTATAACAATCAAAAGCTGGTGGTTATGTTTCCGTCCTAAATCAGAAACTGACTGTTAACACAGAAAGCAATCTTGTACATAACAAACAATCATTTGTATAGCCCAACAATCATATGTATAGCCCAACAATCATATGTATAGCCCGACAATCATATGTATAGCCCGACAATCATATGTATAGCCCAACTATCATAGCCCGACAATCATATGTATAGCCCAACAATCATATGTATAGCCCAACTATCATATGTATAGCCCGACAATCATATGTATAGCCCGACAATCATATGTATAGCCCAACTATCATAGCCCGACAATCATATGTATAGCCCAACAATCATATGTATAGCTCGACAATCATATGTATAGCCCAACAATCATATGTATAGCCCGACAATCATATGTATAGCCCAACAATCATATGTATAGCCCGACAATCATATGTATAGCCCAACAATCATATGTATAGCCCGACAATCATATGTATAGCCCAACAATCATATGTATAGCCCGACAATCATATGTATAGCCCTCTTTTCTCAGTAAAATATAGCAATGATTTCAGCAAACAAGCGAAGGTTACTTTGGTAGTACTGCCCCTGATGAATTCAGAGTACAAGTGTTAAACATTTCAGTTGGAATGTAGTGTTTTCTCATTCAACTATCTTTTTTTTTTAAACTGCTACAATATAAAGCCATTTTATTTAGATAGCTCGAGGGAGATTCACAAAATATAGAATTAATCTTTCGTCAAAAATATCATTTTAATGAAAGCCATGTGATGGTTCTCATAGTCGCACAATACGTCAAAATTATACACATAAATAATATTTGCCCTGTAAATGTCGTAAACATGCTTTTAAGTATTCATAATTATATACTATATCAGGAAGACACACCTGTAATATTTTAATAAGTCAATATTTCATGAACATGTGTGAAAATTATCTTTTGAAATTTTAACCTGTGAAAGGTCCGGGGGCACTATTTGAACATTTGAAAGGTTAGACTATCTCATACATAATACAAATATAGATATCAGAATTTAAAATTGGCTAATATAATGCTGACAGTACGAGCAGTATGCTTTGTATGCTGAATACTCATGTCCTTTCAAGTTTATAGCTAAGTGCACTTCAAGAAATGCTGGAGTAATACAGGTGAGAAATTAGAGAGAGCAGAAAATTAGGCACAGAACAATGAGAGAAGCTATCTTTCTCTGCATGGCTGAGTGAAGACAGTGCCCGGAGCGCTGGTGTACAGAAATCTACCCCAGCACCTTAGGTCTCTTTATCATGTACCGCTACATAGCACTATCCTTTTAGTAATGTTTCACTAGAATCAGGATTTATGTAGGGATTATATTTGGGGAAGAGCACTGTGTTTGTTTTACCTACAGAGAAAGACGGCTTTACTGACATCAACCATGTTTGGTGCCGCAGTAAAATGACAAAAAATGACTAATATATATAGCACCAGTCTGAACTACATCATCTACCTCAATGTTTTCCAATACAAGTAGACAGAATGACGGGAGTCTGAATTACATCATCTACCTCAATGTTTTCCAATACAAGTAGACAGAATGACGGGAGTCTGAATTACATCATCTACCTCAATGTTTTCCAATACAAGTAGACAGAATGACGGGAAGATGAAGTTGAATGATAATTTGGTTGTTCTATGTCTCACTCTCGCTCACTCTCGTTTGCCTTTCAGCAGCGACCAATCAGATTACAGTATTTTACTAACCAATCAGAGCACATAATTTTACTGACTGATAAGAGTACAGTATTTATCGATCGACCAGAGCAAAGTATTTACAGAACCGAACACAAGTCTAAATTATAAGTCAACGCATAGTCTGCGAGTCCTGCAGATTCCTGCAAAGTCAAACTTGTAGTTTGACGGTGATAATGCACACTTATGCCATTTAAATCCTTTTCATGCTCAGTCACAATAACAATTTGATTGCAGTACAATGCACATCAGCAACAAAAAACAATGCCTCACTGACAATCAGTGACTCTAGAAAACCTAGCTATAACTATTCATACTCGTAACCTAGTTTTCAAAAAACACTCTTTCACAAAACACATCCACATATTCTACTCGTTCAAATAATGATTTATCATGATCAATTTTCCAATGAATCTTTTTCCTCTGCAAAAAAATATCAGAAAGAAATTGACCGTAACATGTGTTCCAGTTTCTATGTATAGCACTTAGTGTGTAACAATCACAGTTAAATCGACGTCCATTCCAGTCTGCCATTTTTCGTATCCTTTGGTAAATCACTCACATGGTGTTACACATGCCTCAATTTGTTCACACATCTGACAATAAACATAAAATATATATAATTTTTTTGACCAATGAAAAGACAGTTTGACTCTTCAAAGGTCTTGTAGACTTGATCCAATGAAACAAAGCGTCCATGGTCATATGACCAATTGTGCACCAGATTTGAAAGACGTTTTCTAGTGGGTAGCACATAAAAACTAGTACTTATATTACTATATAGGTTATCAGCAGTTACTGTAAAATCTCCTTGACGAGAGATATAGCACGTTTTTTTATGGTGGTCGTGTCATCATCACCACGGTTACCGTGTTGTCTGCTTCCACCTAACACAGGATTATGCCGTAAACTCTGTCACACTCTACGGAACAGTACTGACGAGAGGAATCACAGTTATCTTGAATACTGTCGATAGTCTGCATTTGTAAACATACACTAAGACGTCGTTGGTCGCATTTTGAGGTATATATCTGAGGGGGCCTGACCTTGAGCACCAGTCGTTTGACAGTGTACAGGGTAAATGAGTTTGGTGTCCAATTCTCCGTTGTGTTCCTTTAGAGATTCTCTGTGGTAGTGTAACACCAAGTCCTTCACATCATCAAACTTGTAAAACCCTTCAGAAAAGCCGAAGCGCCCTTCATTGTTACCAATGATACAGTGACCCACTTTTCCATTGCACCTGAAATTGAAAAGGAATCTCATTTTATTTCTTTTTAAAACAGTGAGTATCTTTTTCCAAATCTCTGACAATCCTAGATAATAGCTATTTTTCAATTCACGATATCCCTTTTTAATACCTTTTTATTAATTAAATCTTAACCAATTGATTTTCTGTATTGATCACTCAAGAATCCTGAAACTCACAAAGATATTTTTTTATTCACAATTTTTTTTCTGGTACCATCTAAATTCAGATACTGATCAATGTTTTCACATTGGGAGGAAAAGCTACCTACATGATTGATAAGACATGGACATGATCCTTCGGCCGAATCAGGAATGTTCCGTCTTTCGTTCCTGCGAGGAGACGCTCCGCTTGTTCCCGGACACAGTTCACAAACCAATTTTTCTCATGTAACAAAGGGTCCCTGCAAAAGACAAATTTTACATATTAAACTTTTAAGTATTTAAAAATATCTCGCTCTTTTATAAATTTGATGGATAACTTGCAGCAGAGACTGTGTCCTTTGAGCATTCATGTTCACTCATTTACATAAATGCAAATAAACTTGAATAACAATACAAATGCTGTTGAGGCAAGAAACCCGTATAATCTTGGCTGGGACTGTTTTGGTGTTTACCTGTACACATTTACCTGTAGACTGATTTTTTTTTCACATGCTTATTATAGATACCGTGCTAGAACCCTGAATTGATTATGACACTAAACTAGCAAGGTTTCACCTCCTTTCTACCTGTCAATCTTCCTACTCTATACCTAACGTTCACACTATTTACCTGTCATTCTCCAGCAGAATGGCGTCTATGGAATCTGGCTGTTCTCCCTGGTCCAGAAGGAATTTTTTCACCTGCTCTCGCTGTTTATGAAGTCTCTTGATTTCTGGTCGTAAACTGTTCATGTCACTTATAAGAGTTCTATTCAAGGTGGTTTTTCGGTTAATTTCCGTTTCCAACTTCTCCTTACTTTCATGAATACTTTGACACCTACTCTTCAACAGCTCATAGTTTTCGTGTAATCTGTAATGAAAATAGAGAAAATATTAGTTAAATGAATATGGTCTTTTCACAGCTTACAGGGTAAAGGAAATGAAGCCTCTCATAAAGGCTCTCAAGCAATAGGCACCAGCACAATGTGTAGATCAGATTGACCTTTTCTATCAAGGATGCTTTAAACTCTGCTGGTAATAGGACCAACTTAGTAGTTTCGCTTTTTAAGTTTATATTAACAATGCCATGAAAAAAATTAAAGACAATTTGTCTATTGACAATAAACAAGAGCATTCTTCTGCAAAGTCCTGTCCTTACTAACATTAGAAGGTTGACCAAAAAGTTCTACATTTTCCGCAACTTTGAATGTGTAAGCCACAATATTTACTTTTGAATGTCGTGGAGCGATACATCTCTCTGATGTTTCCGGTGGAGTTCCATCTGCTCCTCGAACACCGCCACGGTTTCCTTGAAGGCATCCAGAGCCTGATGTTTGAGCTGGAGTTCCTGAGAGAGCTTCGAGTGTTCCTCGTAGTGCGTGTCGTATTCGTGCATCTTTGTTAAGTACTCAGCGTTGATTCTCTGTAGTTTCTTACACTCTTCCTTCAGGCTGTCAGTATCTAACTCCTAAAAAACAAAAAGTCAATCTTATTAATTTCTTAATTCAAACAGAAACGATTTTAGAAATGTCTTAAAGTCACTTCTGCAAAACAAGTTAATTTGAAAATAGCAGGAGACTTCAAATATCTAAAAGTAACAGTCCTCTTGCCTTGCCTAGATTTATAAAGAAAAGCTTCACAAAAAGATCAATCCGTTTCAGAGAAAAATAATTCTTGACTGGCATATAATCCACATGGCTAGCGCCTCCGACTGAGAACCAGAGGCTAGCGCCTCTGACCAAGGAACGGAGACAACTTCAGAACGTAAACACAGGATGACTTACCGCTGCCTTGTTTTTGGACACTGGGTAGAGGAGCTTGGTGTCGAGCGTGCGGTTGTAGATGGACAGGGAAATGTTACTGTAGTGTTGTATAAGATCCACAACAGAATTAAAAGTTAATGGTTCCACAAAGCCAAACTTGCCTTCAGAACTGTGGTATATTTTGATGAGTTTGTTAGTACCACCTTTCCGTATTGTCAACGTGTAATCGCCTTGTGTAGCTGAATCACGCACCAGAAACGTGCCATCAGGTTTGTCTCTTAATAGTTCATTTACTTCCTCACGGGAAAGATTGCCCCAATACCACTCCGCTTCCTTTAGTCTCTCTTCAGCAGACATGACGGACAAATGTTCGGAGGAAATGATAGGAGACTGTGGGCGGGGCGGCCTGGTAGGCGGTGAAGGAGGAGGCGCCTCCCCCCAACTACCGTTCTTTAGAAGCTCCTCAAAAATGTCTATGTGGTACTTGGTGTTGTCCACAATCTCACTAAAATGATAAACATTTGAATTATAAGTTTACATCATCATGACACTATGTGTAACTTTCTAACAATATTGATCTTGTCTAATTTACAAAATAATTGTTATTGACAATAAATTGAAATCAGTGTAAGCCTGACACGCCCAGATCAGTGTAATTCTAACAAATCTACATTGGTAATTCTGACACACCTTCATCAGTGTAAGTCTGACACTCCCACATCAGTGCAAGTCTGTCTTGACAAGATTACATACATGGCATTGAGTTGCAGACAGGCTGAGGATTTTTACATCCCCAAATCAATATCCAATTCTCATTTACATCACCATGGAGATGTGTTGGAAAACTCAGCTTACACCAGGAGACATCCCAGATGCCATCTGTTCTAGATCTGAGGTGTTTAAACTCTACTAGCACTCAACTTCCTGATGTCTATTGTCTTATAATGAAAGCTTAAACAAGTCAGTTGACTTAGATCATTGAAACAACAGGCAGGAAACAACAATCTGAAATCTATCAGGTACGAACACAAGTTATAACAAATCTAGGCTGTTCTTTGTCTGTACACTGCCCACCCCTAGGGGTCCTCGGAATCCCATCAGGAAGGCATTGTTTCTATCATAAGTTATGAAAATATCCTGCTTCCTCGTCAAAAATAATTGAAACTGCATTATTTTCTGTACTCCATTCATCAGTTATTATCATCCAATCATTGTCTGACTGTGAACTTCTGAATGTTGACCAACCATCACACAATTCGGTCTAAAGCAGGCTAAATGCCCCACAGACTGACACAACAAATATTGATTACTTGTTACCAGTAGTCTGTAAGATAACTGTGGGACCGAAGTCCAGGATTAGATATGTGAGGGGGCTGAGGTCTGTCTAGATAATACAAATAAAGATACTGTTGTATATAAGGTCAGTTGGAAAATTTTAATAAACAGAACATATACCAGGTAGTTTAGTAAGATCAAGTTCAATTTTCTTTTGTATTCAGACACTTGAGGTTACACAAGAAACGAAAAAAGGAAGCCAATTTTACCTTATTCCAACAACAATATTCACTCAAATCTTTAATTCTATTTTTAGAAATCTGACGCAATTAGCCCCCGGGGTGACACTAGAAATGAAATCTGCCATCTATCAGCACACAATGTTTCAAACGTAGCAATCCACTTCTTGTATTTGTTCATTTCTACTCCTTTACGCTCCGTTTAGGTCCCCAGGGACATCAACCCACTCCTCATCTAAAAACCATTTTGTCTTAAACAAAACATTTTGTGTTTGTTATACAATAATATTGATCAGCCGTCATTGTGACGACAATGATTACATCCCCCTGCCATACTTACATGATTTTCTCCCAGGGCGGGCGAAGCAGTATGTGACAGAATACGTGGGACAGTTTGTCGAGTCCGTCGTCCACCTCCGACTCATGCTGAATCTTCCATAACCGGATAAAGTGCGCCATGAGGAAGCGCAGTGTCGACTGATGAGGACCGGGAAGAGCTGTGATCAACTCGACCAAACTCTTGGTAATGTCTGATGATCCGTGTTCACGCTGCTGTGCAACGGCCATGACGGCATCGTACATGTCAACAGGGATGACTGGATTTGGAAGTTCACGAAGGTACTTTTTCAAAGCACCAGCCACACAATGTACATTAAACGGAGCCAGATTTACTTGTGTAGGATCATTCACTGTGGAAATAAACATTTCATTAAATTAAATTGTGTCAAACTATTTTGTGTTATGTATAACACGTAGCTACATCAATGTCTCAAAGAAAACAGTTGTGACAGTTTTTGGTAAACTGTCTGAACAGTGTACATTGTTGATTTAATTCCATCAAATTTAGAAAATGTTTGATATGTTGTTGACAAACTTTCCATTGAATTCACTAACTGCCATAATTACAAAGAGCTTCCCACAAAAACATTAGTCTTTTTTTGATATGAAAACACCATTAAAGCTGAGTGGTTCTTACCGAGATTTAATTCTGCCTTGATTTCGTTGATTTCTTCAGTCTTAGCAAAGATCCTATAAACACTAAGTGCTTCTGATTCTGAAAAAGGAAATTAATTCAATTAAGATTTTATGTAAATTTCAATCACATATTGATCTATCACCCATATTAAAGTGCTTGTGAGTTACAATCATTCATATTTTTTGTTTAAATAAATGTAAAGACGACGGGTGCATATATCAGTGAGAAGTGATTTAATTGAAAACTCTGGCGATTTAAACGTTTGTAGGAACAGGATGTAAACACAGTAGATGAGCAGACATTGTGTTAAATCACTAGAGCAGACATTGTGTTAAATCACTAGAGCAGACATTGTGTTAAATCACTAGGACATGTTGTAATGGTATACTTACTATGATCAACACACCACTTCTCAATCACCTCCGTACACTTGACAATAATCCACGGCGCCTCTAAATGGCACTTGCTGACTTCCTCCCCTAATTCTGCCCCAAATGATGAATCTGGAAGAAAGAGGTGCGATATTAATAGAAATTAGTCACAGACTTAGATTAACTTTTTATAACAATCTTTATTTTCGGCTAATTTTTAAAAGTAATTATCTACATCCAAGAAATAAATAGAAATTTCTCTTTAATTAGTTAACTACTGTTCTTAAAATTATTTATTGATGATTGATATATATGGTATAATAATCTGAACCATTTTTTTTCAAACTTAAAAATGATCAAATCGAGACCATAAGATGGATTTAATTGGTCCAACAAACTCCCATCCTACTCTAATCAAACACTTTCAGTAAAAGCTTTATTCTTTAAGTTCAAAAAAGCTTTTATTTTTTTAAAGAGAGAAAAAACCCACTTTCTATATATTCTCCTGTTCATGAGTGCAATAAAATTGTTTCGATTTTTATATAAACTGGGAGTGTACTCCTGAAACCATGTGTCCATCTACAATGTTTAATGTGTTCATGAAAGCAAATACGATTCTAAGATTTATAACTGACCTAGTTTCTGCTAAGTCGGCTTTTCTATATATGCATGACTAATACAGTCTTTGAAAACAGAGTTATTTGCCCTTAGCCCATACAGCCGGTTAATACCGCCAGCAAGCTTGTGGATAAGAAATCTTACTTTGTGTGAAGCTGGGTCGTCTCAAGCGATCTATCTTTGGCACGTTGCATTCTGATGTTCTCGATGAGGAGCAGTATCGGTGGGAACACATGCCACACTCTGAATAAAAGAAAGTTGTTTTTTATTAAAAGACTATGCATGTAATAAACAGTTATCAAACACACCTAAATGTAATAACGGAAAAGCTTTCATCATTTATACCACAAAAGGTTCTATAAATACACTTTTTGGATATATTTAAACTCTGAATAGTTTTTGCTAAGGTTGAGAAATGGTTTCAACAAACATAATACACTTGTTAAAAGCATACATAGTTGAATGTAAATTCTTGAAACAGTTTTCGAAAGAGAGAATTTTTTTGAGACACAAATTTCAAATATTAACCTGCACTAGAATGTTAAAATAAGCTTGAATACGTACCCCGGCATTGGAGTCCCTGGCGCACAAGTCCATAGAGAAACTTGTCGCAAAGATGACATCTTTGCATTGATGAGAAGCTATATTCCGCAAAGCGATGTTCTGACGATGCTCCGCAGCTCGCGGCTAAACAAAGAAATATTATCAAATTATAATTAGAAAAAAATAAATCCTGAGTTGTTTCAGAACATTTACATGAAAATAACTCATCCAAGAGATAGTTAGAGTTTTAGAATCATTGCCGAAAAAAGTACAACTTTATGAAACATTATCTTAAGTACAATTGTATTTATACACATTAATAATTAGATTGAAATGAAATTAGGGTTTCCTTATATTATACAGAACTTTTTAAATGAGAAAATGTAGAAATTACAATTTCTAAAATGTCTTCCAGATAACATTTAAGTTTTATAAAGTGAAATAAAATCACTGTAACAAGGAATAAAGATGTAGTTTCTGATGTAAGTTTGATGAAAAAGTAGAAAAGTTTAAAACTTACCTTCCATGGGGTCGGAGGGATAAACGGGTCCCTGGGGATAAAAATCACATAGTTGAGAAAATTCATTTGATGTACAAGGGCATTGTGAAGAAGATGGGAATTCGTACATTTTCAGAGACTCCCCATAAATAACCACAGGTAGTAGTAGGTTACTGCCTGCCCTCCTCCAGTCTCAGATCTTACACACCAAATGTAGGTCAGTGGAAAAATTCACAGACACTATTCCATCCTGGAGTCATATAGCACGCTGAATATTAGGACAGAATATCCTCACACTGTGTATCATATACTCCTTTATCACTAAAGAAAATCCAAAACTGTTCACAAAATAACTTAAAATCCGGTGTGGAATGAAATAGATCCCAAGAAGTTGTTATAGCATGTTACTACACTGGGGCTGTAAGGGTAGTAGAGCATGTGTAGTGGTGTAGCTGGAGAAAGACTGTGGGCCTGCAAGCTCTGTGGCTTTACTGATAGAGCCATACACAGGGCCAGGTAGGTATGCTAGCTGTCAGCTTGGTTCTGCCTCTGTGAGTAAGTGTGTCAGTCCAACCAGCCAGCCAGGCAGGCAGGCAGCCAACCAAAGCTTAGCCTACTTTCCAACATAACAGACTTGGCAGGGACCCAAGAGTTGGATCATTATCAGCCCAGGAATACTCTATAGTCCCTGACAGCTCAGGCAGGGCATACACTCTACTCACTGACAGGGATAATACTAACACAAAACCTGTACACTCAGACTGCCTCTATACTCACACACAACCTCTACACTCAGACTGCCTCTATACTCACACACAACCTATATACCCAGACTTCCTCTATACTCACACACAACCTGTACACTCACACTGCCTCTATACTCACACACAACCTGTACCCTCAGATTGCCTCTATACTCACACCCAACCTGTACACTCAGACTGCCTCTATACTCACACACAACCTATATACTCAGACTTCCTCTATACTCACACACAACCTGTACCCTCAGATTGCCTCTATACTCACACCCAACCTGTACACTCAGACTGCCTCTATACTCCCACACAACCTCTATACTCAGACTGCCTCTATACTCACACACACCCTGTACACTCAGACTGCCTCTATACTCACACACAACCTCTACACTCAGACTGCCTCTATACTCACACACAACCTATATACTCAGACTTCCTCTATACTCACACACAACCTGTACACTCAGACTTCCTCTATACTCACACACAACCTCTATACTCAGACTTCCGCTATACTCACACACAACCTGTACACTCAGATTGCCTCTATACTCACACACAACCTGTACACTCAGACTGCCTCTACACTCACACACAACCTGTACACTCAGACTGCCTATATACTCACACACAACCTCTATACTCAGACTTCCTCTATACACACACACAACCTCTATGCTCAGACTGCCTCTATACTCACACACAACCTATATACTCAGACTTCCTCTATACTCACACACACCCTCTATCCTCAGACTGCCTCTATACTCACACACAACCTATATACTCAGACTTCCTCTATACTCACACACAACCTCTATACTCAGACTGCCTCTATACTCACACACAACCTCTATATTCAGACAATCAATATACTCAGATAACCTCTATACACACCTCTATACTCAGATAACCTCTATACTCAGAATACCTCTGTACCCAGAAAACCTCTATATAACCTTTATACTAACAGCCTCTACATACTCAAACATCTGTATACTCACACCCAGACTTCCTCTATACTCACACACAGCCTCTGTACCTAGCAACATCTATACACACCTCTATACTCAGACTTCCTCTTCACTCAGACAACCTATATACTCAATCAACCTCTATATACACATCTATACTCAGACTGTCTCTATACTCAGACTGTCTCTATACTCAAACACCCTCTATATACAAATCTATACTCAAACAACCTCTATACACACCTATACTCAGACAACCTCTATACTCAAACAACCTCTATACACACCTATACTCAGACAACCTCTATACTCAAATAACCTCTATACTAAGACAACCTCTATACTCAAACAACCTCTATACACAACGTCTATACTCAGATAACCTCTATACTCAAACAATTTCTATATACACATCTATACTCAAACAACCTCTATACACACCTATACTCAGACAACCTCTATACTCAAACAACCTCTATACACACCTATACTCAGACAACCTTTATACTCAGACAACCTCTATACTCAAACAACCTCTATACTCCGATAACCTCTATACTCAAACAACCTATATACTCAAATAACCTCTATACTCAAACAACCTCTATACACAACCCCTATCCTCAAACAACCTCTATACACAAACAACCTCTATACTCAAACAACCTCTATATACACTTCTATATGCACAGCCTCTATATACCCAAACATCTGTATATTCACACCCAGACTACCACTATACTCGGACACAACCTCTTTGATCACACCCACTACAAACAGTGCTTTAATATATATATCTAGTTAGTGGATCGAATAGGTTAAAGTCATTTGAAGGGGTAAAATATATTTCAGAGAATGTATCAAATATATAAAAACATTAAATTAAGTTCAACAAACTCATTTTATAACCTCAGATTAACTTGAAACTAACCTGAATAAATCGGTCACTCGTTAGTAAAGAGATGGGACACACCTGGGATCCAACTCAGTGATATATGCCACTAAACCAGGTAAATTATACACCTGTGTGAAATACTGCGCCTATGTGCATTTTATACAGGTAGAATGCACATCAACCTGGAGCTCATAATTCACCACATCAACCTGGAGGAGCTCATAATTCACCAACTACCTGGCTAGACTACGGGCCATTAAACATGATGATGTGTCATTTTTAAATATAATGTATTTCAATATTCCTATTGAATGGATCATGAAAATATCTTTACAATATTCATGTGCATCTAAATTTAGAAAACTATCAAATTATCAATACGCTGACTAGGCTAAGACGGGAGAAGAACACGTTAAGTATAATAGTAGTGAAAATCTTATAATCACTTGATACTTAAATTGCCTTTTAAAATATCTGATGACACTCAAATTTAGAAATTATTGATAAATGTTCCACTTTCCCTATAACAAGGTGAACACGTAACAGTCCTATACTGCCACGGGCGTTACATCTGGTCACCTTACCAGTGACGTCTCAACAGCTATCAAATTCTAATAAACATATAACTTGTTTTCCATAAATTAAATTTTACAGGAAGTAAACAGTTATAAATTAACAATGCCAGTTTTGTGACACTTGAGTTAAAAAGTCACAATACCATACAACAGAGCTGAATAAGGCTGAAAATGCTACTGCGCAGTAAATGCATTCATAGTGCTTATGATTTCATTTAACTTTTTACTAAAACTTGAATATTTTTGAATATCAATTTTAAGCAAATTTGACAAAATTTCTCAAAAGACATACTCAAAACATAACATTTCTCAAAAGAAAGGAAAAAAGGATACTGCATGGGATATGATACTTATGTAATTTATAAAGTTACAGCATCAACCGTCTTCTGAATTTCTGCCTCTATAGTTTAACTCATTTGTAAGTGGGAGAAAAACACAGCCGTCAATGCCGCTTGTTTCTCCCTGGGATCAGGAAGTATATCTAACTAATTTTTACATTCCTTACTAGGCTTGCCCAGCAGTCCCAAAGAAATCACAAATAATTTAATCAAATTTTATTTTATATAACCCTCTATGTGCAACAAGATGTGAATCACAAATAATCAAATCAAGTTTTATTTCATAAAATAACCCTCTGTGTTCAACTGGTTAAAAGATGTGAATCAAAAATAATCAAATTTTATTTCATAAAACCCTCTTTATACAACTAGTTAAAAGATGTGGATCACAAATAATCAAATTTTATTTTATTTTATAAAACCCTCTGTTTGCAACTAGTAAAAGATGTGAATCACAAATAATCTAATCAAGTTTTATTTTATAAAACCCTCTGTGTGCAACTAGTAAAAGATGTGAATCACAAATAATTTAATCAAATTTTATTTTATAAAACCCTCTGTGTGCAACTAGTAAAAGATGTGGATCACAAATAATTTAATCAAGTTTTATCTTATAAAACCCTCTGTGTGCAACTAGTTAAAGATGTGAACCGTGAACATCATCTATTTTAATAATTATTATAAAAGGAGAAAAACCTAAGCTTGGACATCATTTATTTTAATATCATTTATCAAAGAAGATAAAGAAAGTTTGGACAGCCATATTTGAAGTAATTTTAAATAGATGAATATTTTGAAATTTCCGTTAACTTATACATCATGAGCATTCCCTTCAATGAGCTGGGGAAGGGGATGAGTGTAAAAGGGATAGATTTGTAGAATGGTTCAAAAATTTGGAAAACCAAATTAGTGGAGTGCCTTGGCCCTACCAGTCTGAGTGGAGACATAGCTTGCCCTATCTAGGATCATCAGGGGCACTAACATCCTGTTCTGGCCGTCCTTACATACACACACAATCCTACAGGCTAACACAAGGTGACTAACTTACACCTTAGTCCATTAGGCCGGGTGTGTGATTGAACAACTTCAAAGAATCTGGTGACACGTTTACCTGTCGGCCAATTTTACTCCAACAAATTACACACAACTTCAAACGTGTGAACTAACCATCGTCCCTTATTGTTGAACCACAAAAGCATTTTCCGATTTGCGTTTCACCTAGCACATTTCGACAAGTCCAATTAAATTTTGTTAATTATTGTAACCTTAATTATGTCCGGTACCAGTTCTGGTAATTAAGTCTAAATGGTGATAAAGAAGTGAACTGAAGTGTGAAACATGGCTTGGAGGAGGAAATGAACGGCGAGAAAATTAAGTCATTCATATTGTGTCCCCTTAGAATTACAATTGATAAAAAAAAGGAATTAATTATGATAATTACATGGATATAATTACATGTCAAAATTACATAATGTTAGTTTTCTCAATCTCCACAGGTGGTCAGTATTCATTTACATAACAGGTAAATAACTGTCAAACAGATGAACAAAACCTTTTAAGTTGTCCAATTTTATCACAAATAGTACTGAGCATGCAATATTGAACAAACTTTCTGTACTTTTAATTTATATCTACAACTCCCCTGGATTGTTTACACAAAGGCAGCAACAAATTCTGATCGCTATCAGAAAATTTGAAGTCATTTTATGAATTCCCTTAACCTCATGTTGGGTATACAAAGGAAGATTGATATGTATTTACAATGGTAAACTAGCCTACCTCAAGTTTTATATAAACTCCACACTCTTTATTGTACTTAGCAGAGGTGACTTACAACCCGAAGACAAGTGTTAACTGGATAGAAAGGATTAGAGCAATCGGTCTGGCCCTTCAAATAAACCAGACAGCCAATGCTATCTATCTATTGTGGGGAAAATTACAAATAAACCAGACAGCCAATGCTATCTATCTATTGTGGGGAAAATAACAAATCTATTGTGGGGAAAATTACAAATCTATTGTGGGGAAAATTACAAATAAACCAGACAGCCAATGCTATCTATCTATTGTGGGGAAAATTACAATTAACCAGACAGCCAATGCTATCTATCTATTGTGGGGAAAATTACAAATAAACCAGACAGCCAATGCTATCTATCTATATTTTGACTTTTTAAATAACTACAGTAATTACATTTTTCTTTATATTTCAATTTGTATTCTATATCAAACTATCGTTAAAGTTAGTTTCCAATACAGGAGCTGATAGTTAAAAAAATTGTATAATATAAAGTTAAACTAACTTCTTCATTTTTCCAAGAAAATGATGCGAAAATAGTTCATGTAACCTCGAGCTCATCCCGGCCGTGTTTGACTTTCTGGAGGTTTACATCTATGCTAGGGACAAAGTCAGTGCTAAGCCTACTGAAACACTATCATAGAAGTAATGGTGGGAATGTTTGACTTTCTGGAGGTTTACATCTATAATAGGGACAAAGTCAGTGCTAAGCCTACTGAAACACTATCATAGAAGTAACGGTGGGAATGTTTGATGGACAGGGACTCACATTGCTAGGTTCTGGTTCACGTCCACACAGTTCATCAATGGCTACCATGATGGATTTCTTGTGAAAGTTATCCTTAATTCCCAATTCCTGTAAACAATAACAAAACTATTGTAAACAATGATAACAACAATATGACTGTAACATTAAATGTTTATATCCAGTCAACACAGTACAGGAACAACCACACATCTGATGGATGCTATTTCAATTTTACAGATAGTTTTTATGAAACAAGTAGCAGCAACTTTCATGAACATCATATGGAGTTTGAGATTCTCTTTATCATATACTGAACCGAAACAGGTCAAGGCCAAAATTCAAGGTTACAGAGGTCGTGCCACATGTCCCACTCAGAGAAAGCATTAGCATGTTAAGTTGTGCAGTAGTTGTATCTGCAGTTCTTAGTCCATATCTGACCTAAACACAAAAAATCAACCAAGGTCACAGAGGTCAAGATCAAAGGTGAAGGTCACAAAAATACAGTAAAGCATGCTGTACTCATCAAGGCACATATATGTATATACTTATTCCATAAATTTCACCCTGAAGACACATCTGAACTCTTCCAATTCAAAGGGTAGAATAGTTCATTATACAATTTCAGGGGTGAATGAGCTAAACACAATAACTTAACCACACCAATTCATGTCGGGGCAGAAAATCATGTTATTGAATATCTGATCAATAGTGTTTTTTCTGATTTAACAGATGTATATTGAAGTTCAACGACAAACACAGTAAAATGATGATATGATCAATCTTCTGTTTCATTACAACTCTCCTTGTAGTTCAAAACTCTATTATAATGCTAATATCTGTCGGACAAAAGCCGGCGAAAAATGGAGGTAATTTATTGTATATATATTAGACGAAAATGTATGACATGCTTTTAATTTATCAAATCCTTCAACATCATTTTGCTTCAAAATCATAATTTTGTGTTTTGTTTTCAAATCATTATTTTTCATTAATGTTCAAACTTAATATAAACATCTCATTTTGAGAGAAGATACAAAATAGCTGTTTTAGTACATATCTCTCTGAACTATGTCTACCATGGAAATGATGTAACTTCTGTTTCTTTTCCTACTCGGTGAATTAGTGAATTACGTTTGTACCTGGAGGCTAAAACTTGAAATATATCTTCGAATACAAATGAGGTAAGCTGTGACGCAATCTGTCCACATCTGAGAGGCAGAATGTGAGAAATGACCCCGATATCAGCATACGAATGTCAGAAACTTGTACCTGAGAAAACACTAGCGCAGTGTTTGATGTGAGAGTGTACTTGGTGTTGTCGACAAGCCCTAGCGTTAAATACCGGCCCTTATGTATTACCTTCCGACTGGTACGACCGGAGACTACCAAATCTCATCCGTATTCATATTTTAGTTTTGACGTCAATTTGCTTTTTATAATTGCGTTTTAGAAACTACGAAGATTGATTACCCTGTCTATAGATAGCGTATTGATACCTGTTCACCCGTCCTCATCTGGGCAGCGAGTACATTAGCACTAACGAACCTCAAACAACTTTCAACATTGAGGCCCTGACACTTCTGACATGATAAAGGGATCAGTTAGAGTAATCAAATTCAATCATTTCATTAAAATTGGATGTATAAAAGTTCATCCAGATTTTTTAATCTATTTGTACAGTCTGAAAAATATAAAACACATGACAATTTACAAAATGTCCTGAAAAATTCTGCCAAAGACCAAGATTAACTTCAGAAAAGGCTAGGTAAATAAGGAAAGACAGTTCGTTTTCGAGTTCATTTTTTTTTTTAAACCCTAGAAATCGGGTGGTCGGGTGGCGCAGTTGATAGCGCACTTGCCTTTCACCAAGGCGGACGGGGTTCGATTCCCCGATCGGACGTGAAAAGGTATGAGGTCACCTGCCCGACCACTTGGTTTTTTTTCGGGTTCTCCCCCGGTTTCCTTCCACAGTAAGACCCCCAAGGCGCTAACATCCGGGCCAACAAGAGTGATTAGTATAAGTTGTAAAAACTTGTTTCATAATAGTGGTAAAATAAATAAAGTTTATATTTCATATTAAACAGAAATCAGAGACTGGGACATAGAATTCTTACATAAGTAAAATCTTTCTCAGATATATCGCCAAACCCCTTTAAAATGCCAAAATTGAGCAGGGCAATGGTTGGCATTATAAAAAGGTTTTCTTGTATTCGAACTGTAACCAACAAAACGGCATCAGACCAAGTTCAGTGTTCTATAAGGAGTAGTATGACATCATTACTAATATACATACAGAATCAGCACGTTCTGTAAGTCTCTTCGTCTGTGATTAGACCGGTATCGTAATCACGCATGACAGGAGGTTAGCCACCACCACGGCAGACTCAGATCTACGGGCTAAAAACAGAACTGGAGACAAAGAGCCAAACCTTATATCATTGTCTTTAATAGAGCCATCACAGAGATAAGAGCATTATATGGGTGCTCGTAGTATCGCTTGTCAGTCTTTGTAGCCATTTCTGGCATTACTCGTTATTTTTACCTGCCAAGGAAGTCGACACCCATATAGGCAATAATAGTTGGGGTGCTTTAAAGATCAGCCAGGGCAAGCTACTGTAGGATCGTAATTGGACCAGTGTGCCCAGCACAAGATCGTACCAGATGACTCCGGAGTCCATTGTAGATATACGCCTTACTTGATAAGGATCCATCAGCGCTTCACTAAGACAAAGGCAGGATAATCGTCATTTAACTTGGAACCTTGCTCACGGCCATTGTTTTTTTCTGCTTTTAGATGGACCTAGTATACAATTAGACAACCAGGGCCCTGCCTAAATTGATCAATTCGGCTGACATTTGAATAGATATTTTACGCCGATTGATTAATCACAGACGACACTGGGTATAATTTCATGTAGGACCTACATTCACCAAAACAATGGATAAACTGTGTTTGAAGTGCACCTTGTTATTTCTTCATAAAACTTCACAAGTCATTAAACTCGGCTCCACACACCCATTTCACCTTTGGATTGGCTGTGGTGATTAACTCAGCACTTTGGTACCGGACTAAACCTTTCAATTGGCTGTGGTGATAACTCAGCACTTTGGTACCGGACTAAACCTTTAGATTGGCTCTGGTGATTAACTCAGCACTTTGGTAACGGACTAAACCTTTCGATTGGCTGTGGTGATTAACTCAGCACTTTGGTACCGGACTAAACCTTTCGATTGACTGTGGTGATAACTCAGCACTTTGGTACCGGACTACACCTTTCGATTGGCTGTGGTGATTAACTCAGCACTTTGGTACCGGACTAAACCTTTAGATTGGCTCTGGTGATTAACTCAGCACTTTGGTACCAGACTAAACCTTTCGATTGGCTGTGGTGATTAACTCAGCACTTTGGTACAGGACTAAACTGGTTTTCTGGTACCGACTCTGATAACCTGACTATAGTGGACAGAACCACGATCTGGATGGTGACATAAAAACCCATTCTGCTGATCTTCTATCAACGCCAGCAGATAGTATTAGCTGTAGAGAAACACATAGTAACCTGACTAAGGGGGTGGGGAAGTGTTTATTCTTAATATGTGTGGGTTAGGGGTGGGGGAGGTTGTTTACAAGGGAGAGGTTCCCTCAGCCCTCCCTTGGATAGGCAATTGCATACAACATGCTTGTAAACTTTAATTTGGGTTGACATCATATTTTACTTATTTGACCCCCAAACAATTTGTCCACCCAAACCCACTATCAAGTATGCCCTGCTGACCACACTGCTTTTTCCTCACCATCAGCTTCACACTTGACCACACTACCCCAGCATCCTAACCACACTTGACCACACTACCCTAGCATCCTAACCACACTTGACCAAACTACCCCAGCATCCTAACCACACTTGACCACACTACCTCACCATCGTAACCACACTTGTCAACACTACCCCAGCATCCTTACCACACTTGACCACACTACCCTAGCATCCTAATCATATTTGACCACACTACCCCAGCATCCTAACCACACTTGTCCACACTACCCCACCATCGTAACCACACTTGACCACACTACCCCAGCATCGTAACCACACTTGACCACACTACCCCAGCATCCTAACCACACTTGACCACACTACCCCAGCATCCTTACCACACTTGACCACACTACCCCAGCATCATAACCACACTTGACCACACTACCCCAGTATCGTAACCACACTTGACCACACTACCCCAGCATCGTAACCACACTTGACCACACTACCCCAGCATCGTAACCACACTTGACCACACTACCCCAGCATCCTAACCACACTAACCCAGCATCGTAACCACACTTGACCACACTAACCCAGCATCGTAACCACACTTGACCACACTAACCCACTGCTGGGGAAGGAACTTGACCATCTGCTTCATGACCATTTTTCCTCCCTACCCGTCAGTGTTAGCTTTAATTAATGCTACTGATTGTGGCCTATAGAGCAGATCAAGCCTTACTGCCTGTGCTAGGTTCATACACAGGATAGTAGGTCAGTCACAGCCGGTACCAGTTCACCACCTAAATCCATATAGTCCATATTGCTTGGGAGGCTTTCTATGTCGCTAACCAATAACCATTAAATACCTAACTCTTAGCAGATAAGCCATTTTTTATTTAGATGATTGGCATTTTGTGAAATCTTGACCGGAGTTTGGCTCCCTGGCCGATAATGTATAGTTTTTACCGGGACATGAGGAAAAGATGAAGGAGATAGGGATTAAATGTCTCATATGCATGTCTAAACCTACTAGTTCAGTCAACTCAGCACAAACAGTGTTTACAACGAGATGGGATTTGGCAATGCCAATATAATGGAATATTTCCAGTAACAGATGTTGGCTTAGTGGTGGTATTCCTTTAGTGGGAAAGCATGCCGAATCTATTAACAAGTTACCCTGGCACTGGTTCTAAAACTTCCTAAACAATCCTACCTAATCCAGCACTGTCTATAATCCCGACCATGTATATACAGATGCTCCAATTTCTTTGTTAAATATACATGTCTGTCAACTCCTACGCTTTAGAGGCACTCAAGTCATTTCCTGAGTTTAGATACGGTGGCGCAATACAAATGTTTTACCATGTAATGTTTAATGAAACCATTTTAAACAAAAGAGGGATAATTCTTTTGGATAAATCTAATAATATTCTCTAAACTGAAATATTCCTTTCAAATCAATTTTATAAAATTTACTAATTTTATTTGCCTTTGAATTCAATAAAGTTAACTAACCTATATTGCTATTAGATGTTACTTTAGTAAACTCACAAAACCTTACATTAAGTTAAATCTTTCAAAAAAAATCAGATTTTTTTTATTTCAGTTAGGTTATTGTAACTATTTTTTTAATTTATTATAAAATTTTAAAAAGATCAATTTAAATAAGCTTTACCAACTTTAGGATACGTATATATCTATAATTGTTAATGTGGGTGAATGATGATTATTTACAAAATGGTAGACAAACTGCTATATAAACTCTGTAATGGGGCACCTGTTGGTCGTTTGCTAGTTAGTCGGGAGCGGTGGGCAGAACAGAAATGTGAGGATGGAGAGCCAGCACATTGTGATACCAGGATTGAGGGTAAACAGGGATTTATGTCAATGTACTGGTAACTAGGTTCATAGTGAAACCAATCCTGGTGTATCGGAATAAGGGGGGGAAGGAAGGAGGAGGAAAAAAAAAATCAAGATGGGGGTATAAATGATGATAAGGAAAAGGAAAGAGATGGAGAGGGCAAGCTACAGACTGTACTTATAGCAGGGCAGAACAAAAATACATCTATCATTAAGAAATTTTAAAAAGTAAAAAAACTGTTAGACAGATGAAAAGACCAATGCAAATCCATGATGGCATGCAAGCCTACTTGGTGTTTATATTTCGTTGAGCTAATAGACCACATCATTATGTGTAAAAACACCACCAAGAGGCCTTGGTGTATATACATCAGAATATAGGCAGTGGGTAGGACTAACAGCTTGTTAGTCTGCTACTTATTTGCAAACTAATTATGCCAAAGCCACCAATGTTCTGTGGTGACCTACATCTGTGTAGTAGCACCATATCCTGTTAGTCGTCAGTAAGTGTCCACCCTCCCTCACACACGATTTACTGATTTATGTACAATGCTACAACACCCACACATGTCCATCCTACACCCCCTCCTCCCTCTCAATCCCAATCAGGAGTATCAACAGACAGCACACCTGTCAACCACTTGACCCAAAGACCTAGTTTTTTTCCTATAAAATACTGTAAGGCATGACTTTATATAAATATTAGTGATACATCGTATGTTCATTGTGCCTTTATTGTTGTGTCAGTGTGTATCAGGCTTTGGTTCAACACTTGGTAATCTGCTGTTGATCTTATACACCTGATACAGTATCCTCCTGTAGGTAAGATTACAGCAGACCAGGAGTGACGAAGGAAAGATTACAGCAGGCTAGGAGTGATGGAGGTACGATTACAGCAGGCCAGGAGTGATGGAGGTAATTACAATTACAGCAGGCCAGAAGTAATGGAGGTACAATTACAGAAGGCCATGAGTGATGGAGGTAAGATTACAGGAAGCCAGGAGTGATGGAGTTAAGATTACAGGAAGCCAGGAGTGATGGAGGTAAGATAACAGCAGGCCAGGAGTGATGAAGTTAAGATTACAGCAGGCCATGAGTGATGAAGGAAAGATTACAGCTGGCCAGGAGTGACAGAGGTAAGATTACAGGAGGCCAGGAGTTATGGAGGTAATAACATCAGGCCTTGAGTAATAGAGGCAATATTACAGCAGGATAGGAGTGATGAAGGAAAGATTACAGCTGGCCAGGAGTGATGGAGGTAATATTTCAAGAGGCCAGGAAAGATGGAGGTAAGATTACAGCAGGCCAGGAGTGATGGAGGTAATTAAGATTACAGGAGGCCAGGAGTGATGGAGGTAAGAAAACAGCAAAACAGCAAGCCAGGAGTGATGGAGGTAAAATATCAGCAGGCCAGGAGTGATGGAGGTAAGATTACAGCAGGCCAAGAGTGATGGAGTCAAGATTACAGGAGGCCAGGAGTGATGGAGGTAAGATTACAGCAGGCCAAGAGTGATGGAGTCAAGATAACAGGAGGCCAGGAGTGATGGAGGTAAGATTACAGGAGGCCAGGAGTGATGTAGGTAAGATTACAGGAGGCCAGGAGTGATGGAGGAAAGATTACAGCTGGCCAGGAGTGATGTAGGTAAGATTACAGCTGGCCAGGAGTGATGGAGGTAAGATTACAGGAGGCCAGGAGTAATAAAGGTAATAACATCAGGCCTGGAGTAATAGAGGCAATATTACAGCAGGATAGGAGTGATGGAGGTAATATTACAGCAGGATAGGAGTGATGGAGGAAAGATTACAGCAGGATAGGAGTGATGGAAGTGGCAGAGGATTACAGCTGGCATAGATGATGGAGGTACTATTACAGCAGGCCAGGAGTGATGGTGGTAAGATTACAGCTGGCCATGAGTGTTGGAGATAAGATTACAGCAGGCATGGAGTGATGGAGATAAGATTACAGCAGGCATGGAGTGATGGAGATAATATTACAGCAGGCCAGGAGTGATGGAGATAAGATTACAGCAGGCCAGGAGTGATGGAGATAAGATTACAGCAGGCCAGGAGTGTTGGAGATAAGATTACAGCTGGCCAGGAGTGATGTTGGTAAGATTACAGCTGGCCATGAGCGATGGAGATAAGATTACAGCAGGCCAGGAGTGATGGTGGTAAGATTACAGCAGGCCAGGAGTGATGGAGATAAGATTACAGCAGGCCAGGAGTGATGGAGATAAGATTACAGCAGGCCAGGAGTGATGGAAGTACTTTGTCAAACTAAAACTGCAGATACTAACCCTATAAAACAATATTGCCCCAAAAAATAGCTTACTTTTAGTTTTTCTTCATCCATGTCTTCCAACATAGTGCCGTCTATATTGCGGTCCCTGAAGAGTTGAGCATAACGGTAGATGTTCAGTGCAGCCATCCAGTCAACAACATCATTGACGTTCCAATCCTTCAGGGGCTGTAACGAAACACAATTACACGGTGAATGACATGAAACATAGGTACAGCAAATGACACCAGGTTTTAGGGAAAACTCGTTTAGTAGAATCTGCACTAACCTCCTGATATAAAGCCATTCTACCACACCACTTACTTCCTACCTGACAATGTTTTCAAGGTTCTCCTTTTCTTCTTTTCTACGTAATCCCTTCAGGAGATTTTTCTCTATACAGACAAATTTTTGCCAGAAAAATTGTGTTCGTAAAACAAGGCTTAATTCTATTGTATCATTTGACCTTGACCTTACAAAGACCATAGAAATATCACCCATAGGATTTTATATACACTATCTATATTATACACCTTGACAACTTCTTAAAAAAAAAATCTTCTCACAAAATTTTACTTAAAACATAGTTATTTACACTCGGTGAAAACATGCACTCTGAAAGTCAGAAGCATTTAGCAAGGAGTAATTTTCAAGGTCGCAGTAGATGGTCATATAATTTGCTGAAATATTATGTATGTATTTGTACAGGTTATGGTAACAAAAGCCCAAGAGTACATGGTACATTTGCCTACCTATGACGAATGAAATTTCTTGTGAACACAAGGAAACTGTAGTATTGTCCGTTTAAATGCTAGAGTATTTCAGTTGTTACCATGTTAAGCAGAGATGTGACGCACACCTCTATTTTGCCATTTTAAGGAATTGTGTCAACCTTGACGTATTTTTCACAGTATTCATTCTATGATTACATCAGAGGCTGAAGAGAAAACAGTAGCGTAATGACACAACCATCTGTCAGGACTCGACTGCTGTGTTGAAAGTGGACAACATGTCTCCCAGACACAAGTGTTAACGGTGCTTGTTTTGTTCATTGGGACCATGCGTAAACTAGCGTCCAAGTTGTTTGACCAACTCAAGTTTATTTATAACTTTCTACGTCTCTTTCTCTGCTAAGATATACCATGTACTTTTAAAAATGTTTTGTTCCTTAAAGAGCAAGATAGTCAAGATGAGGATTTCAATTCTTTTTGTTTTTATTTTCATATCATCCCTTTATAATGTACGAAAAACACTGACAAAACAAATTACAAGAGGACATCATACACACACACAGGTTTATCTATGTCAGCAAGATGTCATAGGAACCATACGCATGGGACATGTCATTGGAACCATCCACATGGGACATGCCATTGGAACCATCCACATGGGACATGTCTGCAGATGGTCCATTTCAGCATCATAGGTTTAATAACACTGTTGGGTAATATCCCACAGTTAATTACTACAGTTCAATATATAATATTAGAGATTGTGACCAAAGCCTTTATCCTTTTAACTCAAAATCAGCTTGAGAACTTTCCATAAGACATAAGGTTTATAAGTTCACTCTAATTATCTTAAGTCATGGGGAATCATTATTGAGACAAGAATATTCATAAAAGGTCATTTATATATGTCCTTGTGACGGCAACATTTGGCCTGTGACTTAAATTAAATCCCATCTTTAAAATAGAATTTGTGACCTTTCATTGCATCGAGGTTAGTAAAAAGGTCATTATAGCACTTATTGTAAGGAGGCACGTATTGCCACTAAATTTTTATTAAAACAAAACATGACATGTGATTTGACTGGTCATATAGTGAATTTCTGCAAAACATATATTATATATACTATGATCCAATGTAAAATATAAATCTTCTGAGGTGTAACTGATTGTAAATAGATTTATTAAGTACAGAATCTTTCATTATTCACAACGTTCCTCCCTTTTTTTGGATTAAATGAAGAACATACTGGTTTACTAATACCTACAAAAAATGTATTATTCCACAGGAATCCAAATTAACCTCCACACAAATGTACCTCGGTGGTCGACTCTACACATAGCTGGCAACAGTGCCAGGTTATGCCTTGGGGAGGTGGAAAATGAAGATATGCCTAAAAACTCCCAGAATGATGCTTCATGTTTTACTATTCATTTGAAATCTTAGAAAGGAAAGTTGAGAACCAGATTGCCTGGGCTTGGGGTTTAGATCTGGTTTGTGTGGGTGAGCCGGCAGTAACAGCCAGACTCTTAATGTGCTCTGTAGCTGTAACTGATCAAAATGGATTTTTAAACCTTATTGTATGTTTTTATCTGTAAAAATGTATGTAAATTATAAATTCATTTCTGTTTCACATTCCTTCTTTACATAATCGGTCAAAACACTAGTATTGACTTAATTAGCATTGATTGGCTATAAAATCAGAAAACAACAGGGTATGTGTAACATATTTTTATCTTAAAAATAACAATATTCTGAGTACAGAATTTCTTTAAAGAAAGGCAAACATAATATTGAATGGTGAAAATCACAGATAGGTATAGTTTTGTACATAGTATGGTCCAAATCTGATAGGTTATTTTAAAAGAGTTATTTAAAAAAAAGTTTGAGGTTCTTTCAAAAACGTTGCTGAGAGACATTGATGCTAGAATGTTGAGGAGATAACCTGATTCTCAGTGACAGGTGACCTACAGTGCTAGATAAATCAATAAAACCTCTATTAACAGATGAATACATTGGTCACATTACAATGGATCTCTCTTATGAGCTATTTATGGTAACACGTCTCCACATCCATCATGCTACCCCACTGTTCTAAGTGGTTATAAGCCCCGGGTAACCTTTATACCTTATTTCACCTAGGGGCTTTAGTGGAAGATCTGGCCCAAATTTGCCTGGCTCCAGCTTTCCTGGTGTTATACTCATCTCGACTATAAATATCCCCACTCTAATCAGCTTAAAGTATTTGCCAGTTTAAATAAAGTACATCTCGGCATTGTCCGTACTAAATATTACGTATTGAGTCTGGAAGTTAGGTCAAATCTGTAGTACATTACTCTTGGTCGACTGGTTTTAACTATTACCTAACATAGGTTGAAAAGGGAACACCACAGAAGGACACTGAGAGGCGGAGGGCGACAGAGAAAGACAGAGGGACGAAGGACAGACGGAGATGGCGAGAAGGACGGAAACTGAGGGCAAAAAAGAAAATATGGAGAGTGACAGTGAGAGCGGGAGGGTGGAACCACAGTGACTCTATAAGCTTTAAGAATAATGAACTTAAGGTTATATGCTAGCTTACTCAACATACCTGTGATTAGATTTGGCATTAAGGAGATATCCTACTTTAAATACTCTACCCATGATTTGTATTAAATTCTCTCCTAATGTTGAATTACTTGAACATTACCAATAGGCGTATTTTTGTGTAACTTTCAAATATGTCATAATTAATTTTCAAAAATCCAAATTATTTGCCAGATCGATATAGAACAGGTTTTATAAATGTGGAACTCTTTGAATAGAAGATCAAAATAAGATAGCATGTATCTGTTAGAATATATTCTGTTATCATTCAAAATTTAGTATAATGTACAGTTTATCTACCAAATGATTATAAAGGAAACGACAGTAAATTAAACTGATTCTTTTCAGTGCATTTCCTGATGTTTGAAAGAAAATACATTAAACTTGTCTGGAGGAGTTTGGAACACCAGTTTTATTTAGTCTGTCTAAAACATCCTAGGTTCTTCTGAGAATGACATTGACAGCTGGTCAAATATTTGCAGGTAGTTTTTAAGATAGTTCCTCAAAAGTCCGCCTTGTTTGACGATCACTGTTTTACGATCACTGTTTCACGTACTGTACTGCCAATCTGCCAGAACGTGTGGAGGTGTGGGAGACATCGCTCACTTGTCAAGGTTCAGATCAGTGTGTACCATATAAAGATTCCATGGACAGCTATCAGGTTTATGTTGTCCAGGCCTAATGGATGGCGACACAGCTGATCTGTCCAGGTAAAACCAGAACCAGGGACAGACAAAATGTCTGTAGATGGATCAGGAGGGGACTTACCACTTAGGACGGGGGAGGGGACGTACCACTTAGGACGGGGGAGGGAACGTACCACTTAGGACGGGGGAGAGACGTACCACTTAGGACGGGGGAGGGGACGTACCACTTAGGACGGGGGAGGGGACGTACCACTTAGCGCAGGGACAACATCTGGGGATGACTCGCTAGAGGTTAATCAGTATTGATAGGAAATCATTTTTGATTGGGACTTGTTATCACTAAAATATACACATATACAGGAATCGTTCTCACTAAAATATACATATAGTCTGTCAGTTAGTGTGACCTGCCTTTATATAGCCTGTCTACTTGTGTGGGAGTTACTTAAAACATGCCAGGCTGTCACTATTTTATCATATTTGTACATTAAGTATAGTCAGATATATCCACGATTCTCTGTATTAGTATTACAACATATAACAAACTTTTTCAAAAAGCATTTTATTTTTTGCAGGCCACCGTTTTCAGCACTCGATTTTTAGCAGGCCTCCGTTTCAAACACTTTCATATAGCTCCATAAAGTCACATTTCAAACCCAACATGTTAAGAATGGAAATTGTGATGACATATACGTCAACCCCCAGTGCGACAGGAAGAGGATCGCAGACTTACCACATCAGCGTCCAGTGTTTGGGGTACGGTGCCATTCTTGTCCCGCCTACAGTGTGTGTTGGAGTATACTTCCCAACATTGCAAGTGACAACACTTTTTGCAACCTGAAAATAAAAGCAGAAAATAAAAGTCTACAGAATTCTATTAAACTCCTAATCATCAGGTAATTGTGAATGTATCTGTGAGTGATGGTTTACGTTTAAGCTCACGGGACTGCACAAATTGCAGTATTGCTTTCATGGAATAGCAGCAACTTGCTAAAGGAATCTCTTTATTTCATTTTTATTTCAGGTATAGACTTCGAATAATTACTTATAAGCTGACAAACAATAATTTTAATAAGCAATGCCCTAAGATAAACCTTTTTTAAGACTACACAAGTCAGCTAAGGTTGAGAGTTGAACTTGCGCCTATCAGCTCACTGTGTTTTTCAAACAATTTAGGCTTCTTGTGCGACCAGAGCTGATAATTACCGGTATTGTAGTATAAGGTTCAGATATGAAAACTTATTACCGACGCTGAACCAATAGTTACCATCAAACTCTATATGTTTTAACAGAATGAATTTCACTTTATACTGCTGTGGACAGGTTAATTACATCCATTTATATCTGATGAAATCCGATTAAGGTTCCCTGTATCACTGCCAAAATCTGTAGCTACACATTTGAAACAGTTTTTTTCTGACATGACTATAGCTTTGGTAAATAATTTCTATAAGAAAACCATACTTTGCTGGACTTTAAAGAAAAAATTAAATTGGAATAAATAAGAAATAACTAACAAAATAACCAACAACAGTGCTCTGAGTTTAACAAGCTGTACTAATGTAATAAAGTTAGGGAGATGACAGACAGGAGACTCATACTTACTAACAAAATAACCAACAACAGTGCTCTGAGTGTAACAAGCTGTACTAACGTAACAAAGTTAGGGAGACGACAGACAGGAGACTCATATTTACTAACAAAACACAAACAGAAGAACACATTTACAAAAAACATGCATTAAACAAACTTCTGCTAAGTACAAACTCATTTTCCAACACTTAAACTAAAATTTACAGCAGTATTTGGGATCCTCAGAATGACATTATACACACTGTACATGAAATGGATCATAACCATAAATCTAAAACCAAATGTCTTTTTTTTTTTATCCAGAGGCCAAGCTGAGTACAATTTACTTCGGTGCGCCATAAATCGAGAATTTAATCTTTATTATTCTAATCTATGAGACAATAACTGCTTATCGTTAGGTGGAATGGTATCAATGGATACAGCTGGCCTGCCAGCGCCAACTCACCGTCGTCCATGTAGCCAGTACAACCTCCATTTCTGCTGAACCAAATACAACCTCCATTTCTGTTTTCTATCACGAAATGAGATCATCTGTTTTCATATCTCCCCTCAGTGAACTCTAGACATTTATTTATACTTTTGTACCTCCATTTCATTTCACAGACAGACAAATAAATGAATTCTGGGAAGATAACGGAATAATGTGTTGGTTGATTGTACTGAGGACCTGCAGGGACTGTTGGAAGTTGGTGGGCACCGGGTAACCTCTCTAGCCAATCACTGGTGACACGTGATCTCGTCTTCATATTCAAATCAATTACAAGTTCTCCTGAACTCATTTATCATACAAAACAAGATAACTAATAAAAGATGGCGGAACACTTGTACTAGTTCACCTCCCCACGACAGTTTTAGAGCATCATTTATTTGAAGTTGGAGATAACGTTATGACAATTTAATTGCGCATCTCGGCTAAAACAAGGATTTTTTTTACCGGTAACTTTTAATAAACTTTTCTGCTATTTGTGATTATGCAGCTTGTTCAAGATAACAAGAGACTATTTTAATGTATCTTAAAAGAAATTGCCGGGAATAGCTCAGTCATAACACCCGAGCCAATCTTCTAGGTTTTATTTCATTCATGACTTTTTTTAGAAGAATCTGAACACAGACAGATGATAGATGAATGGTCCTGTCAAATTGTAAGGCTTTGTCTGTGGTCGACAGTTTTATCTAAGCAATTGGCTAGTTGTTTATCACAGCACTGAATTATCACAAACTAAATACAGCACTGAATTATCACAAACTAAATACAACACTGAATTATCACATACTAAATACAACACTGAATTATCACAAACTAACTACAGCACTGAATTATCACAAACTAAATACAGCACTGAATTATCACAAACTAAATACAGCACTGAAATATCGCAAACTAAATACAGCACTAAATTATCGCAAACTAAATACAGCACTGAATTATCACAAACTTAATACAGCACTGAATTATCACAAACTAAATACAGCACTGAATTATCACAAACTAAATACAGCACTGAATTATCACAAACTAAATGTCAAATTTCATTATGTTAACCACTGTCAGGTTTATCATAGCTCATGTCAATCGATGTATTAATCATCTATATTGATGTACGTCAGCAGTCAAATATATCCTAATTTTACAACAAATCTCAGGTAAAGTTACCATATTTTTAAAGTATCATATATAGGTCACATGATATTCATATATATTAGGTTGTCAAACCTATCCTATATTAGGTCCATACCAGTTTAAAATTCCTGTCACTTTTATATCCATCCATGCAGGTCATATCTGTATCATTGTAGGTCAAATCTCCTGATTACGCCAAACTAAATTCAATCCAAACTAAGGCAATTAAATCTCAAGTTCCTTTTAATATCAAACTAGGTCAAATTATCTATTTATTCTGAAACCAAGCCATGCTTCCAACTTACAAGGTCAAATCTCACATAATTTTAAGACAATGTTTGATCAAATTGCCGGGTATTTTAAAACAATCATGGTCAAATGGTCAGTAATTCTGTATGGTCAAATGGTCAGTAATTCTGTATGGTCAAATGGTCAGTAATTCTGTATGGTCAAATGGTCAGTAATTCTGTATGGTCAAATGGTCAGTAATTCTGTATGGTCAAATGGTCAGTAATTCTGTATGGTCAAATGGTCAGTAATTCTGTATGGTCAAATGGTCAGTAATTCTGTATGGTCAAATGGTCAGTAATTCTGTATGGTCAAATGGTCAGTAATTCTGTATGGTCAAATGGTCAGTAATTCTGTATGGTCAAATGGTCAGTAATTCTGTATGGTCAAATGGTCAGTAATTCTGTATGGTCAAATGGTCAGTAATTCTGTATGGTCAAATGGTCAGTAATTCTGTATGGTCAAATGGTCAGTAATTCTGTATGGTCAAATGGTCAGTAATTCTGTATGGTCAAATGGTCAGTAATTCTGTATGGTCAAATGGTCAGTAATTCTGTATGGTCAAATGGTCAGTAATTCTGTATGGTCAAATGGTCAGTAATTCTGTATGGTCAAATGGTCAGTAATTCTGTATGGTCAAATGGTCAGTAATTCTGTATGGTCAAATGGTCAGTAATTCTGTATGGTCAAATGGTCAGTAATTCTGTATGGTCAAATGGTCAGTAATTCTGTATAAAAAAGTCAAACTGTCCCCAAAAGCTCTGGCATAAAAGATAGGATATATATCATAAAATCACACAATAGTTCTGAAGAAGAAGATTTTTCAATGATGAATAGCAATGCTTCTCTAGGGAAAACTTCAACCCCCTGAATACTATTTCATTAAACCCTGTTACTCTTCAGTTTAATTCAACAGTAATTCTAACACCAGGAGTATAAAAAGATCAAATAACTTCAATATGCACCGATCAATGCTCCTCCCTAAGAGTACTTTAGGTGTCTTAAACAGCACCGATCAATGCTCCTCCCTAAGGGTACTTTAGGTGTCTTAAACAGCACTGATCAATGCTCCACCCTGAGAGTACTTTAGGTGTCTTAAACATTGTAAAATTGTCCTGATGAAGCCTCATCTTTAGAAGTAAAACTAGTCGGCCAAATAAACACCCATTTAATCTGTGACACTTGAGTACGTTGTAATTATAATCTTACTTTAAATCAATGACTATGTACCATTATGTAGTTCTAGACACCACATGTCAAAGCTTCATCCATCCCCCCCCCCCGCATCTTTTTCATAATTTTTCTAGTGTTTAGGGCTGCCTCAAGATAGTTGAAAGAAATACAAATCTCCATATGCAACTCCAACATTTGCCAAATTTAATAATTTTAAACCAACAGCTAGTTTACAAGCAACTTCAAACAGGTTGACCTTTTCCAGTTACTTTGAAGTATACTGAGCCACAGTTTATACTCGCGGGGCCTTTTAAGCCAGATAAACCAGAAACTGGATGTTTTGTGTATATTCACATCAATATTAAGTAACTGTTATTACAAGTTTAGTGGACAGTGACCATTGTAGGACCAGAACCGCCATCAAGTACAAACGGATTATAAACGATTTGAGGACTACTACAGGGATGACAGGGCAGAAAAAGGCTACTAAACTCTATAACACTTTGTCAGGTCAACACTCGTAGGTGGTCAGGGCAACACTCGTAGGTGGTCAGGGCACCACTCGTAGGTGGTCAGGAAACTCTCGTAGGTGGTCAGGGCAACACTTGTAGGGGGTCAGGGAAACACTCGTAGGTGGTCAGGGCAACACGCGTAGGGTATCAGGGCACAGTCGTAGGTGGTCAGGGAACACTCTCAGGTGGTCAGGGAACACTCATAGGTGGTCAGGGAACACTCGTAGGTGGTCAGGGAACACTCTTAGGTGGTCAGGGAACACTCATAGGTGGTCAGGGCAACACTCGTAGGGGGTTAGGGCAACACTCGTAGGTGGTCAGGGCCACACTCGTAGGTGGTCAGGGCAACACTCGTAAGTGGTCAGGGCAACACTCGTAGGTGGTCATGGCAACACTCGTAGGTGGTCAGGGCAACCCTCGTAGGGGGTCAGGGCAACACTCGTGGGACGTAGGTGGTCAGGGCCACACTCGTAGGTGGTCAGGGCAACACTTGGAGGTGGTCAGGAAACACTCGTAGGTGGTCGGGGCAACACTCGTGGGTCGTAGGTGGTCAGGGCAACACTCGTACGTGGTCAGGAAACACTCGTAGGTGGTCGGGGCAACACTCGTGGGTCGTAGGTGGTCAGGGCAACACTCGTCGGTCGTAGGTGGTCAGGGCAACACTCGTAGGTTGTCAGGGCAACACTCGTAGGTGGTCAGGGCCACACTCGTAGGTGGTCAGGGCAACACTTGGAGGTGGTCAGGGCAACACTCGGAGGTGGTCAGGAAACACTCGTACGTGGTCAGGGCAACACCCGTAGGTGGTCAGGGCAACACTCGTAGGAGGTCAGGGAACACTCGTAGGTGGTCAGGGAACTCTCATAGGTGGTCAGGGAACACTCGTAGGTGGTCAGGGAACTCTCATAGGTGGTCAGGGAACACTCGTAGGTGGTCAGGGAACACTCGTAGGGGGTCAGGGAACACTCGTAGGTGGTCAGGGCAACACTCGTGTGTCGTAGGTGGTCAGGGCAACACTCGTAGGGGGTGAGGGCAACACTCGTAGGTGGTCAGGGCCACACTCGTAGGTGGTCAGGGCAACACTTGTAGGGGGTCAGGGAAACACTCGTAGGTGGTCAGGGCAACACGCGTAGGTGGTCAGGGCTACACTCGTAGGTGGTCAGGGCAACACTCGTGGCTCGTAGGTGGTCAGGGCAACACTCGTGGGTCGTAGGTGGTCAGGGCAACACTCGTCGGTCGTAGGTGGTCAGGGCAACACTCGTAGGAGGTCAGGGCAACACTCGTAGGCGGTCAGGGCACACTCGTAGGTGGTCAGGGAACACTCGTAGGGGGTCAGGGAACACTCATAGGTGGTCAGGGAACACTCGTAGGTGGTCAGGGCAACACGCGTAGGGTATCAGGGCACAGTCGTAGGTGGTCAGGGAACACTCTCAGGTGGTCAGGGAACACTCATAGGTGGTCAGGGCAACACTCGTAGGTGGTCAGGAAACACTCGTACGTGGTCAGGGCAACACTCGTAGGTGGTCAGGAAACACTCGTAGGTGGTCAGGAAACACTCGTAGGTGGTCAGGAAACACTCATAGGTGGTCAGGGCAACACTCGTAGGTGGTCAGGGCAACACTCGTAGGTGGTCAGGGCAACACTCGTAGGTGGTCAGGGCAACACTCGTAGGTGATTTTATCTTTACTCATACCAACAATGAAAATCTTCAACAGATTTCAACTTATCAACAAAATGGAGACTGGTTTTCTTTTTATACAGAACTTGAAAAGGAAACATTTTTACAGGATTTTTAAAGATAAAATTTTAATCTTTCCACTTTTTCAAAAAAGAAAAATAATTACTGAATGAATGATGTGAAATAAGATAAGGAGAATGTATTGAAAATTGAAAAGGTACCATTTAATTTCATTCCTGAAATGAAATGATTTGGAAGTAATAATTTTGTGCTAGCCAATGTTATGGAAGGTTGACTAAGTACAAAGGTACTTTAGTACACGAAGCCGCTTAACCGATTATATAAAATGTCAAATTTGCGAACTGTATTTTTTTCCAAATTTCATGTAAAACGACCTTTACTGAAATATGAAGGATTAAGCTGACATAGAACAGATATGCGTGTCCGACGAAGTTAGGAGTACAGCTTTGTCAAACTCCATATCTTTATGAGTTTACCATTGGAGGATGACATAATGGAAAAAGGAGTTTACAATTTTTTTAATTTGTTATCCATGGTTGTAACGACAAGGTAACTCATACCTACTAGTACCGACAAGTTAACTCGTACCTACTAGTACTGACAAGGTAACTCGTACCTACTAGTACCGACAAGGTAACTGATACCTACTAGTACTTACAAGGTAACTCGTACCTACTAGTACCGACAAGGTAACTCATACCTACTAGTACTTACAAGGTAACTTGTACCTACTAGTACCGACAAGGTAACTCATACCTAATAGTACTGACAAGGTAACTCGTACCTACTAGTACCGACAAGGTAACTCATACCTACTAGTACTGACAAGGTAACTCGTACCTACTAGTACCTACTAGTTCCGACAAGGTAACTCGTACCTAATAGTACCTACTAGTACCGACAAGGTAACTCGTACCTACTAATGCCTACTAGTACCGACAAGGTAACTCGTACCTACTAGTACCTACTAGTACCGACAAGGTAACCCGTACCTACTAGTACGGACCAGGTAACTCGTACCTACTAGTACTGACATGGTAACTCGTACCTACTTGTACAGACAAGGTAACTCGTACCTACTAGTACTGACATTGTAACTCGTACCTACTAGTACAGACAAGGTAACTCATACCTACTAGTACCGAGAAGGTAACTCGTACCTACTAGTACCTACTAGTACCGACAAGGTAACTCGTACCTACTAGTACCTACTAGTATCGACAAGGTAACTCGTACCTACTAGTACTGACATGGTAACTCGTACCTACTAGTACAGACATGGTAACTCGTACCTACTAGTACTGACAAGGTAACTTGTACCTACTAGTACCGACAAGGTAACTCGTACCTACTAGTACCGACAAGGTAACTCATACCTACTAGTACCGACAAGGTAACTCGTACCTACTAGTACTGACATGTAACTCGTACCTACTAGTACAGACATGGTAACTCGTACCTACTAGTACCGACAAGGTAACTCATACCTACTAGTACTGACAAGGTAACTCGTACCTACTAGTACCGACAAGGTAACTCGTACCTAATAGTACCGACAAGGTAACTCGTACCTACTAGTACCGACAAGGTAACTAGTACATACTTGTACAGACAAGGTAACTCGTACCTACTAGTATGACAAGGTAACTCGTACCTACTAGTACCAACAAGGTAACTCGTACTTACTAGTACCGACAAGGTAACTGGTATCTACTACTACTGACAAGGTAACTCGTACCTACTAGTACCGACAAGGTAACTCGTACCTACTAGTACTGGGATAAGGGCATTATGTGTAGTGAGAGAGCCCAGATTAAGTGCACTGTGAGGTAACCAGGACTGACAATTACAATCCTCCCCAAACAACATCCCCAATCTCCTGACAACAAACCGGCTGACCTACATCCTATGACAGATTGTATCTGGTAGCAGCAATTATGAGAAGTCGGTCAACCGATTCCCCCCTTTCACACAGGTTTGTACTCAACAGCTGTGGCGTCCCTCAGTAACACATATAATTATGCCCCTGCTAAGCTGGATTGACTTACTGTACAAGATCAAGGGCAGGGCAGGGAAACCCCAAAATGTTTCCATCTTTTTCTGGGTTTTTTCTCGATTACTTGTCAATATTTATGCCTGGCAGATACATTTTGAGGCACATGAATTATCCTCACTGTATTTTATGTGAAATCAGGATGATCTTGGTGGACTGTTTTTTTTACCTTAATAGACCATAAATACAATACTCTATACAAGTCATCTTAGAAGTAATGGGATGAAAGTGTAAAAAAGGGCTTCACTTTAACATATATTTTTTTCACATTGAAAATAGAATACCAATCCTCTCAAATCCAAAATGATTAAAGTGCACAATGTACATAAATTGTGATGAGGATATTGTAGAAGTCTGCAATACTGTCCTTTATGTCAGAGGATACAGCCCTTTAATATTAGAGGATACAGCCCTTTATGACAGAGGATACAGCCCTTTATGGCAGAGGATACGGTCATTTAAGGCAGAGGATACAGCCCTTTAAGGCAGAGGATACAGCCCTTTATGACAGAGGATACAGCCCTTTATGGCAGAGGATACAGCCCTTTAAGGAAGATGATACAGCCCTTTAAGGCAGAGGATACAGCCCTTTAAGGCAGAGGATACAGCCCTTTATGTCAACGGATACAGCCCTTTATGTCAGAGGATACAGCCCTTTATGTCAGAGGATACAGCCCTTTATGGCAGAGGATACAGCCCTGTAAGGCAGAGGATACAGCCCTTTATGTCAGAGGATACAGCCCTTTCTGGTGGAAGATACAGCCCTTTATGGCCATAGATACATGCAGCCCTCTCTGCCGAAGAAACAGCCCTTTCTGGCCGAAGATACAGCCCAAAATGGACGAAGATACAACCCTTTATGGCTGAAGATACAGCCTTTTAAGGCAGAAGATACAACTCTTTATGGCTGAAGATACAACCCTTTATGGCTGAAGATACAGCCTTTTAAGGCCGAGGATACAGCCTTTATGGCTGAAGATACAACCCTTTATGGCTGAAGATACAGCCTTTTAAGGCAGAAGATACAACTCTTTATGGCTGAAGATACAACCCTTTATGGCTGAAGATACAGCCTTTTAAGGCAGAGGATACAACCCTTTATGGCTGAAGATACAGCCTTTTAAGGCCAAGGATACAGCCTTTAATGGCCAAAGATACAACCCTTTATGGCTGAAGATACAACCCTTTATGGCTGAAGATACAGCCCTTTATGGGTGAAGATATAGCCCTTTATGGCTGAAGATACAGCCCTTTATGGCTGAAGATACAGCCCTTTATGGCTGAAGATATAGCCCTTTATGGCTGAAGATACAGCCCTTTATGGCCGAGGATACAGTTTGTAATGGCTGAGGATGGGTATTTGAGATACAACATACCTTATAGAGGTTGTGAGAACATATGATTGTTATTCACTAATAATTGTTTGAATGACAAATGTTGTTATCTTTTATTTCTTACCGTCACATCGCCTTCCTACTTTTCCTGTACCCCAGATATAATCTTTACCTGCAAAGACAAAAAGATCACAAACTGATAATTTGAGGGTTTTTACAATGTGATGGAAGTAATATTGATATTCATCCTCATGGTTATTACCGATATACATAATCCTATATTTTGTTACCATGTTTTTAATAGATGCGCAATTATACCATGCTGGTCAAGACCAACGCCTTAAACCTGAAGCACTACCAACAATGCCTAAGAGCAACGCAAGTGACCGGAATAGGAGACTAAAGGAAAGGGGTAATTACCATAGCAAATACTGCTTTTCCATTTTCCTTACGTTTATAACATGCAAATCTGTACATCAGACTAAACCATGAACGCAGTGACTTAGTAACACAGCCGTTAAACCCATTACCCAAAACATAAATGACCAAACTCGTTATTCTTGATGGTTCCATTACTGAAAACTGTCCCAGAATACATTCTCTGGACTATATTATCGGTACCTCGACATTCATGTCCAGAAATTCAGATTTCTGGATTAAATTGACAAGGTACCTCTCTAGATATACAAGTATACAAGAGAAGGACACTGTCAAAAAATAGGGAGGTAAGGTAAAATTTGAACAGAGTATACCCCTGTATCATACCCCTGTCACCCCTGTATCACACCCCTGTATCATACCCCTGTATCACACCCCTGTATCACACCCCTGTACCATACCCCTGTATCACACCCCTGTATCATACCCCTGTATCACACCCCTGTATCATACCCCTGTACCATACCCCTGTACCATACCCCTGTATCATACCCCTGTATCATACCCCTGTACCATACCCCTGTATCAGTAATCAACACTGTCTTGTTACAAGCTGGATGGGTTTTAACATGTCAATTAACATGTACCAAGAAATGTACACATTTTTTGCTGACCATAGGGATTATGTTATTTACTTTATAGGGATTAGGTTATTAACTTTATAGGGATTAGGTTATTTACTCTATAGGGATTATGTTATTTACTTTATAGGGATTAGGTTATTTACTTTATAGGAATTAGGTCATTTACTCTATAGGGATTAGGTTATTTACTTTATAGGGATTAGGTTATTTACTTTATAGGGATTAAGTTATTTACTTTATTGGGATTAGGTTATTTACTTTATCGGGATTAGGTTATTTATTTTATAGGGATTAGGTTATTTACTTTATAGGGATTAGGTTATTTACTCTATAGGGATTATGTTATTTACTTTATAGTTATTAGGTTATTTATGGGGATTATGTTATTTACTTGATAGGGATTAGGTTATTTACTTGATAGGGATTATGTTATTTACTTTATAGGGATTATGTTATTTACTTTATAGGGATTAGTTATTTTTTTTATAGGGATTATGTTATTTATGGGGATTATGTTATTTACTTTATAGGGATGATGTTATTTACTTTATAGGGATTAGGTTATTTACTTTATAGGGATTAGGTTATTTACTTTATAGGGATTATGTTATTTACTTTATAGGGATTATGTTATTCACTTTATAGGGATTATGTTATTTACTTGATAGGGATTATGTTATTTACTTTATAGGAATTATGTTATTTACTTTATAGGGATTATGTTATTTACTTTATAGGGATTATGTTATTCACTTTATAGGGATTATGTTATTTATGGGGATTATGTTATTTACTTTATAGGGATTATGTTATTTACTTTATAGGGATTAGGTTATTTACTTTAAAGGGATTAGGTTATTTACTTTCACTTTTAATATTTCAATGAATGTGCACTGCTTTTTGGATTTATGCTTAGTGTTCAATCGTACTTATTGAAAAGAAAAATAGAGAATTACCCAAACTGAAGTCTACCAAGGATTAGAAGTTTGATTAACAGTGAATGACATCAGTCCAATTAAAGCCAATTGTGTTTCCACTCTCCTTCGTACATAGAGGGTTAGGGTTAGAACATAGTACACAGAACCTAATCATTACACCTTATCCTTATTGTTTTTCTCACCAATTTCAGACAAGACAAGAAAAGTCTGAAGCTTTACAAAATAAGAACATTGTTTGAACCTACCATAAACAATCCAACTTTTCTGGAAATGAAATTGGAGACACAGAAATCTTTCATTTCGCACCTACCAGTAATGCCATGAAATAACATACTGACCAGTGGTCAGGATCAAGGCCACTGTTGGACAAATGGCAGTATAGGACCCACCAAGAGGATCATCTTCACCGGTGTGTATATTATTTAACCTAAGGTTAAGATAACACCCAAGGATTATGATATAGCTTCAGATTATTGATTTAAAGCTCCACCAGCTGATCTCACCACGATGGCTGACTCGGCACATTTCTGTCCTCACTCTTCTGTGGTTTTGTGGTTTTCATTGGTCATGCTCTGTGTGTATAACTAGTACAGGGATTTAACATATCAAAAAACATGCAATCCTGCTCCGATCCACAAAACTCATCCTCTGCCTAATTCCAATAAATCGAAAGGCTTAGAGAATCAATTTCAATTCAATTAATTAAGTACCCTTTTGCTCTGCTGATGCAGCAGTTTGTGAGAATGCTAGGTTTCTTCAGTCTATATTTGGCTTCTCCACCACAATTATTGCCACTAGCAAGAGTAATTTTACATTGCATAATACTTTGGAAATTTCAGGAACATTTAAAAAAAAAATCTGAAGTGAAACATGTTTAAATTGAATAAAAACATTACAGACTAAACTTTTTTATCTATTGCTTTTACTGTTTAAATCAAGTGAAAACATTACATACAGCAACTCATTTTACAAAGAAAGTGAGGGTGTTGTTTATACACAAAACGAGGATTTGTTTTAACAGGTTCACACTTCATAAAGCGAAACAGGTCTTTTCCGATATAAAGAAATGCTGAATCCTTAAGTCACATATAATATCTGAATCCTTAAATCACATATAATATCTGAATCCATAAGTCACATATAATATCTGACTCCTTAAGTCACCTATAATATCTGAATCATTAAGTCACCTATAATATCTGAATCTTTAAGTCACATATATTATCTGAATCTTTAAGTCACATATAACATCTGAATCTTTAAGTCACATATAATATGTGAATCCTTAAGTCACCTATAATATCCGAATCCTTAAGTCACATATAATATCTAAATCTTTAAGTCACATATAATATCTGAATCCTTAAGTCACCTATAATATCTGAATCCTTAAGTCACCTATAATATCTGAATCTTTAAGTCACATATAATATCTGAATCTTTAAGTCACATATAATATCTGAATCCTTAAGTCACATATAATATCTGAATCCTTAAGTCACCTATAATATCTGAATCCTTAAGTCACCTATAATATCTTAATCCTTAAGTCACATATAATATCTGAACCCTTAAGTCACCTATAATATCTGAATCAAAGACAAAAAAACTCACAGTTTGGGGACACCAAACAATATAATAACTATCGTTTAGATCAGGTGTCAGTACAGTCAGGTGTCTGTTAAGTCAGGTGTCAATAAAGTCAGGTGTCAGTAAATACAGGTGTCAGTACAGTCAGGTGTCTGTTAAGTCGGATGTCAGTAAAGTCAGGTGTCAATAAAGTCAGGTGTCCGTTAAGTCAGGTGTCTGTTAAGTCAGGTGTCAGTAAATACAGGTGTCAGTAAATACAGGTGTCAGTACAGTCAGATGTCAGGTGTCAGTACAGTCAGGTGTCTGTTAAGTCAGATGTCAGTAAAGTCAGGTGTCAATAAAGTCAGGTATCAGTTAAGTCAGGTGTCTGTTAAGTCAGGTGTCAGTAAATACAGGTGTCAGTAGTCAGGTGTCTGTTAAGTCAGATGTCAGTAAAGTCAGGTGTCAGTACAGTCAGGTGTCAGTACAGTCAGGTGTCTGTTAAGTCAGGTGTCAGTAAATACAGGTGTCAGTAAATACAGGTGACCTGCCATACCCACCTGTTAAGTCAGGTGTCTGTTAAGTCAGGTGTCAATAAAGTCAGGTGTCAGTAAATACAGGTGTCAGTACAGTCAGGTGTCTGTTAAGTCAGATGTCAGTAAAGTCAGGTGTCAATAAAGTCAGGTGTCGGTTAAGTCAGGTAAAGGTAAGGTCAGGTATCAAAAAAGCCAGGTATCAGTAAAGTTAGGTATCAGTAAAGTCATGTATAGGTAAGGTAAAGTGTCAGTTAAGTCAGGTATTAGCTAAGTCAGGTGTTAGTTAGGTATCAGTAAAGTCATATATAGGTAAGGTAAAGTGTCAGTTAAGACAGGTATAAGCTAAGTCAGGTGTAAGTAAAGTCAGGTATCAGTAAAGTCTGGTGTCAGTTAATTCAGATAAAGGTGAGGTAAGGTATCAATAAAGCCAGGTATCAGTAAAGTTAGGTATAGGTAAGCTAGGCCAGGTGTCTTTACAATCTGGTGTCAGTTAAGTGTCAGTAAAGTCTAGTATCAGTAAAGTCTGGTGTCAGTAAAGTCATGTATAGGTAAGCTAGGTCAGGTGTCTTTACAATCTGGTGTCAGTTAAGTGTCAGTAAAGTCGTGTATAGGTAAGCTAGGTCAGGTGTCTTTACAATCTGGTGTCAGTTAAGTGTCAGTAAAGTCGTGTATAGGTAAGCTAGGTCAGGTGTCTTTACAATCTGGTGTCAGTTAAGTGTCAGTAAAGTCGTGTATAGGTAAGCTAGGTCAGGTGTCTTTACAATCTGGTGTCAGTTAAGTGTCAGTAAAGTCGTGTATAGGTAAGCTAGGTCAGGTGTCTTTACAATCTGGTGTCAGTTAAGTGTCAGTAAAGTCGTGTATAGGTAAGCTAGGTCAGGTGTCTTTACAATCTGGTGTCAGTTAAGTGTCAGTAAAGTCGTGTATAGGTAAGCTAGGTCAGGTGTCTTTACAATCTGGTGTCAGTTAAGTGTCAGTAAAGTCGTGTATAGGTAAGCTAGGTCAGGTGTCTTTACAATCTGGTGTCAGTTAAGTGTCAGTAAAGTCGTGTATAGGTAAGCTAGGTCAGGTGTCTTTACAATCTGGTGTCAGTTAAGTGTCAGTAAAGTC